GAACAAAACAGGCCTTATTGACGAGGACCAAAAGCACAATCACGAAAATTTACTAAATTTTGTTATCATATATACTGAATTAAGATCCAGTTCTAGAGATAGAAATATACAAGAAAATTACGGAAAGTAATGAAAAAAAGTAATGAAAGGAACGAGGGTAGAGATACCCCTATTAATTTTTGTCCAAAAAATGTGATACAAAATTGACAATTATATGTGCACGTCAAGTTTTACAAGAGGGCGTCAAAAAATCTACTTAGGTGTTAAATCTTTTAGCCTCAATGTGACGAATATTTTCACCATATTTTCAATAATGCCACCCGCTGCATTATTGTATATTTTTTGACGCTTAAGTTTCTTGAAAATAATGAGAAAAAGAAACCAATGTGAATGCTGTTTTTGCTGAATAAAATACGATATGGAAATTTAATAGTTACATATTTTTTGTTATTATCAACGTGTGAAATAAGTACTGTTATTATTGTTTCTCATATTACCGGATATATTGGTATGGAAGTATCGATATATATAACGTGCAATATTTAATTTTAGCACGATTGATCACATACATACGTTATTTTCTTTTCTGTGTACATACACTAAGAGAAACTATCAGCCAAACAAAAGAATACGAACTTCCACTAGCCATAGCCTTTATAGACTTTGAGTAGGCTTTCGACTCGATATATCCTAAGGCAATAATAGAAGCCCTAGCGAAACAAGGTATAGACAGGCCTTATATAGAAACTCTCGCCAATATATACAAAGAAGCAAATGCAAGAGTAAATTCTTCTTAAGGTGCCGTGCAGACTCCTGCGTAGGCGTTCATCTTTTTCTTCCTCATCAGATGGTTCTGTTAACTGCCGCGACTTGGAGTGCTTGGAAGTCCTGTATGCCTGTCCAATGACGAATATTTCTCAGCCAGGATAGCTTCCTTCGTCCTATTCCCCTTTTGCCCCCCTCTATTTTACCCTGGAGAATTAGACGCTGAAAGTGATAGCGTTCTCCACGTAGTATGTGTCCCAAATAGGCTATTTTCCTCTTCTTGATGATTTCGAAGAGTTCACGTCGTTCCAGACCAGCTCTTCTGAGAATGTCTTCATTCCTCACACGGTCGACCCAGTACTTAATGATAATAGTTAATTCTACCTGATATCCACATTTTTTAAATATGTTAGGCATATTTAGAATTATTTTTAATTAAACTTTAAAATGTATTCTGCCCTTATCATATACAATACATTTTCTTAACTTGTCGATAAAGTATAGTTTTAAAATTTTTTAATATTTGGAAACTTTATCGCAAGGTATATTATTACTAGTTGCTAAATACTCGCTAACGCAATTTTAGGACATGCTTTTTATTATCTGGATTTTATTCTGTTCATCTTATGCTGTTGTTTATTTCATATTAATATTCATGTTTTAGATCTAAATTTTAATGCTATTCAATTACTTTAATGCGATAAAAAGTTAATGTTATTTTTTAATACCTTTGTGTATAATAGTTTTCATATTTATATGGCAAAACTATCAATAAATACTATTATTTATGCAAAAACTATATGCAGTATCATATGGCACAATACAAAAGTCCGACTATTGCGGTGACGTCAAAAATCGATGTTTCTGGCCTGCATCTCATGTTGGTTATGGTAAGCATAATAATTTTATCAGTTATCTAGCATATTTATTAATTCATTCTAATTCATTAGTCCCCCATACCCTTGTTTATAAGGCCCATACACTAGCGGATAAGTTGACCTATTTGATATGGCACGGAACAAAATCGCGGATAAAATTTTATGTTTGTGACAAGCCAAGCCTATCACGAGCCAATTATAATATCCTAAAAGTTGTATGTATATGAGTACAGTTGAGGGTTGGAACCTTTGGTGTTTTTGAATAACGGCAATATAAAACTCTAATTCACCACAATACACCAAAACACTTTGAATTCGCACTGGACCTGGACGTGCCCTTTGCTAACCTTGCTAATGTTTGCTAAGGTGTAATCGACTGCTGATGATGCTAACATAGTTATAGCCAAACGCGCCCCAAATTCAAGTTTTAATCATCTGCCGATGATGCTGGTTACATGGTTATCAAGACGCGCGACAAATGCACCAGTAAAGTGTTTTGGTGTATTGTGGTGAATTAGTATTTTATTTTGCTGTATGTATTTGACCTTTATTTTTAATTCTTCATCTTCTTAATATTTAGAATTTTTAGAATTAGAAAGAGTAAGGGGGGGGGGGTTAGTCACTGCGACCTTACAGATCTATTGTGTCCCCCTTTCTTTAGTTATAACTCATCATACAGTCCCAGAACTTTGACAAAAACCAGTATCTGGGACAGTTTTACAGAGTGTAGTTCTCCATCTCCAATATCAGTCGTACCAAAGTTCATGGCACGAATGGTTGTCGTCTCGGCGCACTCAGTCATCACGTATTCTGAAGTTTCCGCATTTTCCCCACAGAATCTGCATAAGACGTTTCTTCTTAGTTTCAATCTACTGAGGTGTTCATTGAGGAGACAGTGTCCTGTTAAAAATCCCGTGACAATCCGAATTGTTCTTACTTAAATCCAGAAAATCTTTGATCTTTCTTGGTCGTAAGCCCTCAGAAACTTCTTCGAGTGTCTTCGACTGTTGCAAGATTCCCATTCCAGGTTGCGGATGGAGTCTCCTAAGTTCTTGAGTTCCGCTTTTAGTTGGTTACCACTTGGGAAGCAGAACGGTTCTGGTCCAAAGTTAGTGGACTGTTCGCTCCTTTTCTAGCTAGATCATTTGATTTTTCATTGCCTTCTATCATTTGGTGGACAAGATAGCGTAGATTTCTGCCTGTAGGGTAGGATGCTAGGGTAGGTGCCCATTGATTCACAGTATTTAGTTCTCGGCCCAAATACTCTAATTCCTGTTCCCGCATTGATTTCGTATACCAAGTGCAGTGGTGTTAGATCTAGAATGACCTCCATTGCTGCTGTTGGACAGGTTCACATGACTACTGTGCAAACGCATTTCAGTCTCTGGACTTTGCATAGTTTTTAATATTTGACGTATTAAACATTTATTCATTCTTGTTGCTGTCAGCAATTGTCAGAATACCATCAAGTATTCGCCATATATACATTTGATGTGTCAATCTAATGCAATCAAAATATTCTCCAAAATTGCCGTGAACAGAGTTGGAGAAATTATGTCTCATTTTCTGACTCTTCTCCTATGCATGTGAGAAATATTAGGAACCGTCGTAGAATTTCCACTGGCGGATTAGGGCTATATTCCTTATTTATTCAGATTTTCTGAGAATGTGAAATTAATCAAGCTATTCCACTTCTGAACCTCACTCGTTATCGGGGATGTGCATTATCTATTAATATATTGATGATAATGATGATCATTATGTAGATTTTGTAATCACAGGCAGGAGGTTTTTTGCTGGTCTTAGTTTTCGATGTCCTTTTTAGTGCCGTACGCGCATTTATGATATTAATGCGGATGAATATCTTCAAAAGAGTCCTATGGGTATTTCGCCACTTGCACTGTAAAAAATCTACAAAATAAAAGTTACTTTTTGTAAACACCGCTGCGTTAATCCAACGGATACCAACTTGTCAGCGGTGCGGTTGTTTACTAATAAAGCAAATTTGTCTAACGGACTTTGCTATAGGACTTTTTTGTAGATATACCTGTTAAGATTATCCAGGTTAGTTATTTGTCACTCATCGCGTTGTATGAGCTTTTTATTCTTAACTTTAGGTATGAGCGCCAAGCTGCCAAGCTTGCTAATGTTGTTTACAAAATTATATATTTGCCATGTACGCAAATATTAGTGTACTTGCCAAGTACACGAGTGATCTTAGCCTGGCTTCATATTTGTTTTCTACCTATTACACTACCTACAAACTTAACGTTCTTCAATGTAATTATTAAAAATAGTAGCGTGTACCCGCCACTTCGTTCACGTCGAATTAATCATTTGTAATGGTGATGATAAAGCAAAGCAAGAATTTTCATTAACATACAAACTGGATAAAATTTTCTCACATTTATGTCAGCATGAGCATAAAACGGGCGATATTATTATATAACTTGGTAATATTTGAGGGGTAGTTTCATCTCGTTGGAATTTGACTTTCGAAAAATCCGTTTACCAAAAATAAGCGTTTTACGTCAAGCAGTTTAAGCAGAATCGTGGTTAATCAATTACCCAACTTTTTGAAACACCCTGTATGATTTTTTAAAAAATTTCAAAATATGTAAAAAAAATAAAATAAGTTATGCGTGTCCAAGCGTGTTCCCGAAAGACGAACCGTTTTTTAAATAACAAATATTGTAATATTTGAGGGGCGTTTTCACCCTCTTGGAATTTGAGATTCGAGAAACCCCTCCTTATCGAACTTCTACACCCCACAGTCAATCCGTTTGCCAAAAATTAGCTTTAAATGTCAAGCAGTTTAAGCAGACTCGTGATTACTCAATGGTCATATTTTATGAAACACCCTGTATAAATTTTTAAAAAAATTTAAAATATGTAAAGAGACAGAATAAAATATACTTGTTTAAGCGTTTTTCGAAAACTTGACCGTTTTTTAAATAAAAAGTATTGTAATATTTGAGGAGTGGTTTCACCCCCTTTGAAATGGAATTTTGAAAAATCCCTTCTTATCGAACCTCTACACCCTAGAATCAACCTGTATGCCAAAATTGAGCTTCTTACCTTGAGTGGTTTGAGCAAGATCGTGATTAATCAGTGAGTCAGTCGCTTAAGGATTTTATATATTAGTAGTGTGTTAGTAGTATAGATTTGTTACATTAATATACTTAATACTTAATAGAAAAAGATTTAAGTAAAACGGTATTGTGCAGTAGGCAAATGAAAATAGTAGGTAAATTGCTGTGTGTAAATTAAATATAACATTTTAATCCCTGACCGCCATCATTTACATAAAAACAAAACTAACTGCAATTATTATTACATATTAAGTAGTTGTATTTTTGTGACTGTATTTTTATGAAACTGATCTGTCAAAAACAAATCAATTTTTTACCATAGATTTCCTTACCTTCTCCATATCATCCCAATTACTAATTATTCCATGCTCAATAGGATATTTGACAGATAATACACCTCGCTTTGTTTGGGCTTCATCTCCGACATAAGAATCTTTCTGTCCCATGCCGACCATAACACCCTAAAGAGCAAAAAATAGCGTTATAAAATACCTTAAATAACATAAAAAGATTCGGAACATAGTAAGGATAATTTAAACTTGTTAGTACTTTTAACTACTTAGCTACCTACTTATTAGAAATTTAAAGAAGGCGTCCATTCTTCTCAAAGATACCTGGTTTAAATTAAAAAAGAAGTAGTAAAAAGACTCAAAGTCTCGGTCTCAACGTTTATATGTATAATGTTAAACAGTGACACGTGTTTCGCTCATCAGACAAATACAATTAAAATTAATCCACACACACACGTTTACATTTTACATATTAAAACAACACAGAAGTGTTGTTTTAATATATAATGCTCAGTGTTGTTTCAATATGTAAAATGTGAACGTGTGTGTGGATTAATTTTAATTGTATTGGTCTGATGATGCTCGTATGAGCGAAAAACGTGTCACTTTTTAACATTATATAAACGTTGAGACCGAGACTTTGAGTATTTTTTCTACTTATTAGAGTTAGATCTGAAAGGCCGAGACTAACCATTGCAATACAAATGCCAAGACCCAGGTTGCAAGACTTTTGCTGTTGTGATTGACGGACAAAGCCATGTGCGGAATTTAATGTTAGTGTGACAGCCTAGGAAATGTGCGGTTCTCATTGACAAAAAGTTGTACGTAGATGGAAAATTCAGTCTCCAAATTATTAGATATTTCGAAAAGGATGGGAGTGTAAATGTAACCTAAGGATCAGAAGAGGATCAAAGTCGATCCGAAAAGGTCACAGTGGAACAGTTAACCACCTCAAAAATATTTAATTGTTAAGAGCAAGACCCAGAATGTAAGACTCTTGGTCTTGTATTTTCTTCTCGTTTTTTAATTAATCTTACTTTTCGTAGATAGCAATTAAAAATTAAATTTTTATTTACCCCCCCTTCACCCCTACTTTTCACATTAAATAAAGATAATAAATAAAATAGTGGAGTGACTGGAGACTTTTACCATCTTCTACCTCGGAATTCAATTACTGTGGATGTATAAATGTGAAACCTTCTGTACTGTGTTTTATAGATAAATTACTTAAATGTTTACCCTTTTTTTCCGTTGCTTTTAATTTTTCATTTTAATAAATTCTTGTGTTATTTCCTTTTTAATTTATTTATTTTTCAATTTTTTTCTAAGTATATTTATTGAAATAATTCAATCTAATGCATAAGCTGTACCTATTCTGCTTATATTCCAATCATTGACATTTTGATTGAAATCAAATTATACAGGGTGGCGCCTCATATACGACGCAATTTCTACAAGGAAAACAACAGTTTGTATTGAAGTTAAATTTTGTGAGCTTATGTTAGTTAATATAAAGCATTTTCTAAAATTATATAGAGTTCTACAGGGTGTTCCCAAAAAAAGTTACACATAAAACTTTTGTTTTTTGTAATTGGACACACTATATATTAATTGATTTTCGGATTCTAGGAAAAAAATAAAGTGAGTTTCGTTTGAAAAGTATATGGCTAAAATGTAAAGTGTGAGAAATATTTAGCATTTTCTAAAAATGAAGAATAAACTTTAAATATTAATTCTTTATCCTCAAAAAATTCTTTATCCTCAGAAAATATCCGTAATTTGAAGTCTGGAAAACTACTGGCTACCGTGTCGAATAACGGATCCAACTTCGTGAAAGCTTTTAAGGAATTCGGGCTACAACTGGGTTTTAATGAAGCATATGAAGATGAAGAAAATGGGGATTTAGAATTTAAAAAATATCTCAGAAAATGAGGAAATGGAAAAAATATAAAGGAATGGAATTTAATATCACAATATCATTACCTAAACACATTCGATGTACTTCACACATTTGAATTTTATTGCGACTACCAATATAACAAATATAATTCAGAAAGATGTTACATTGAGGCCTGGTCATACAAATATTTTGACAAAATGCAATGTTATGTGGAAAATGGCAAGTCGACCCAAAAACGCAGAAATTATTCAAGAACCCTGAGGCTACACATTAAGTTATCGATGGCCAACACGCTGGAATTCTCTGTATGATGCTCTAACATAAATTATTCAAGAAAAAGACTGTTTAAAGCTATTCGAAAAGATGGTTAATAAAAATCAGATGCTCAGAGATTGCTGACTACTGCCAAATCTCGAAATATTTAGCAAATTCAATTGATAGTTTACGTGGTGAAAAAATACCTTGTATCTTACAAATCTTTTTGCAGAGAAGGTAAATTTGGCAATACCAACTCATATGTACGCATAAATTTGTAGTAGAGGCAGCCAGAAAAATAGAGTTCAATGAAAACAATATTATAATAGACACTACTGGTGAATTCTTTGAATTAGACTGTTCCGACTCTCCAGAGACGCTTCAAAGTTGCAATAAAAGGAAATTTGAACTTGATATTTTGCAGTACGCAGAGTATCAAAGTGTGGACTTAAATCATTAGATCGATTTCTTGTTATATCAGAACTATTTTTAAGATAATATATACCTAACACCTTCCTACAGTCATCGGCACCCGTTGCAAGTTGAAAAGCTTTTCAATTTTATCGTGTAGTAAACGCACCTCGAAGACATGCGCTTTGTGAATTACACTTTGAACAATTATTTATACGAATGGTAAAAAACTGACTGCTTTGAAGTAAAAAAATATGAGTACTTATTGTTATAGTTACAAGCTCAAGTTAGCTTATTTATAGTTTTATAAAGAGTTCATTATCAATAGATAATTATTTGTAACTACATTTTAGTTAAAACACTTGTTGCAATTGTTTTTATTGTTTTTCTGCAATTCATATAATTTTTATTTTTACTTCAAATCCTTTAAGTACTTCATAAATCCATGAAATAAAGCGTCTTTCAAAATACTACATTATATTCCCAGTTTAAAAGTAGGTATAAAAAATAAAAAGGTACCCGGTGGCGTAGAGGTACAGGCTCTCGTCTACCAATCTCAAGGTAGTGGGTTCGATTCCCACACCCGGCATTGCATCAGCGGACTATTTTTATTAAAATAAAAATAGTTTGGGTACCTAGGTCGACTCAGCCTTAAATGAGTACTTGGGATTCACAATCCTGAGGTAATAATAGGCGGTTGAAACGTAGTGCTAGCCACATTACCTTCCTTGTATACCGAACGGCTCTAGTATGGTAATTAATAGAATGGACATTTCAAAATAGTTCTAGTGTTAATGCCGCAATTAAATTATTTATACAAAAAATAATTTAATATTACACATTAATATTACACAATGAGGGACTTCGTCAACTGATTCCTTAACTATATTTTTTTCAGTATTTTTATTTGAAACTATCACAGTATTTGTCGGTGTGAAAAATAAAAAAAATATCATACAAAAATATTGTGTCTTTTTCTTTCTTTTTTAAAGTTTCATTTGGCATTAAATTACTTGAAAAATTATTTATTTTAAGATTTTCTATGTAGAAGTGCAAAAGTGCAAGACTTGAAAGAGTCTTGCAGCAAGACCAAAGCCAAGACCAAGACCAAACCCCTGCAAGACCAAGACCAAGATTTTATTTATTTATTATATACCAAGGTCAATCACTAAATTACCTGATAACGAGGTCTCCCGACAACACTAGGAAACACAGCTCTGGGAGCATCATCCCCAGCAAATCCAGCTTTACACATCCCTGATCCATTGTCCACTACTAAGGCCGGAACATCTTCGTCGCACATCTTAATTTATCGAAAACAAAACCAGATGTTAATTTTATAAAATATTTTCCAATGTATACTACTGAAATGAGGATAATATATCTAAGTTATCGAAATATAATTTAATATAGTGGTAGTAATATCAGCAACAAATTGGGGGAATTAATATCCAACCGTAGATGGAACATTTTTCGTAAACGCCTACTTGGGCGGTTTGAAATTTTCATGCAAGATCCGGCAATACCTCATAGAAGAAATGTATTGTATCAAACCCAACTTTTTTCTCTTTTTATTTTTTTTTACCCTAACCTCACCTAACACATTTGATTTAAAAAAAAAAAGTTAAATTCCAGACCACGCTTCGACGATGACCCGATCGGCATACCGTATGATCAAATAAAACGGCATCAAGTTATGACAGCAATGTCCATCTCCAAGGCAAATCTACAGGCGAATCTGACGCCGTTTTTTCGATAAGTACGGTACTTATTTATACGATAAGTACGGTATATATTTATAACCCTCTATATTATTGCATTTTTGGCTTCCCTTCAGATCACTTTACATAATCCTAGATATGAGTAAATACATTTTGATAGTTTCAGAAATATTAATTAATAAATAAAAATATAAATTTTTCAGCCTTTTTTAGAAAAAATTATTACAAATACAAGAACTGTCCTGAAATTAAAACTATGTTAGGTTTTTACTTTAGATGGTCTATATTTACTTTCCTATAAATATTGTAATCTTAAATCATACGGGATGCTCAAAATCCTACTTTATGGTTAAACCCTTGTGTTAAACTTTCTAAAATATAAAATAATTTTTCTTTGTTTTTTTAAATGGAACACTCTGTATGTATATTATTTTCTATTAAATGGAGAATTAAGAAATGAACATTTTTCATATGGCTCTTTCAACTGTAAAATACGAGAGAAAAAAGCATTGTGTAGCTTTTGATAAAAATTTACTGTGGAAAATATCATATAAAATTTAAAACCGCGAATATCTGCAAAAGCATTTAAAATTTTGAAATACACACTCTAAATGCAAAAAAATATTCCTTTTTTAATTCTCCATTTACTAAAAAAATATCAAGATGTTTCTTCAAAGTTCCAATTATTTTATATTTTAGAAAGTTTAACGTAGAATATTGAACACTCTGTATGATTTAAGATTACGATATTTATAATAATAACCAAACCAGACTATGTAAAGTAAAAACCCTTATATAGTTTTAATTTCAGGACAGTTCTTGTGTTTGTAATATTTTTTTTAAGAAAGGCTGAAAAATGTAATTTTTTTATTTATTTAGTAATATCTTTGAAATTATCGAAATATATTTACTCATATCTTAGGATTGTGTAAGGTGATCTGAAAGGAAGCCAACAATGTAATAATATACAGAGTGTTCCATTTAAAAAAATTATCCCGACCCATTCACGCTTTTTTGAGCCACCCTATAGAAGTTTGAAATACTTTAGGTTTATACTTAAACAAAATTTTTAGCTTTTTTATTCTAGGAGCTACAGATGCCCGATGCACTTTTGCCGGACCCTGTATGTGCATATTCACTTAAAATAAAAGGCAGGTAAATTAATAAAAGAAATATTAATAATATGCAATTATTTTAATAATTCTAATAAGTTAGCAAGTTTTAATATCGCATGCACAAGGAACATTAAACATTAGAATTTACCATAATTATCGAGAATAATTCCTTCAAAGTATTTCGTGTTATAAAGTGAAGAATAAAATACAACAGATTTACACATCCTCGCGTATCTAGGTCTATTAGCTCTTGTTAATTTTGTTTTCTTACAGATATAAACGAATATAATTGTTAACATTTTCTAATTTATGTAGATACCGTTTACTATACATACAATAAATTGGATTTACTACTCATTTGGATTCATTAAATGCAGCGTTGTTATTTTAAGTTTTTATATAAAACTTAAAAAAATTATTATTTAAGAAAAAATACATAGAGTCAAGGGCCTCGTCAAGGCAAGGAGCAGAGAGGGGCAACTACTCTAGAGATTCAAAAATTGCTTCAAAGGCTAAATTATCAAGAAATTTTCAATACATCAACGAATATACGTAGGCATGTTCGGCCTTCCGGTATACTGGTACCAGGACCGATACTTTTGAAACATCGGTATCGGTATCGTCTTTTATAAAACCGATATACCGGTTTCGGTACCGATACCGGAAGAACGGTTTCCAATCAATACAGAAAAATAGATTCATGATAATATGGCAATCAAAAACCCTGTACAAAACGATTGTGTTTTCCTACTCTAGGTACCGTATGATCGAAAAAAACTGCGTCAGTGATGGATATGAAATGAAGATCGCTCTCATTTTATATACAGGGTGTTTCAAAACAAATGCGAAAAACTTTAGGGGGTGATTCCTTGTTCAAAATAAAGGGTAGTTTGCTTTATAAACGTTGGGTCAAAAGTCAACCATTATGGAGATATCACGGTACAGAGATGGCGGAAAAATAATGTTTTTATTTTTTATCTTGAAAACGAAAAGAGATAGACTAATGAAATTTTATGGAAGCATTACTGTTATGAAAACAAACTTTCTGGTAATTTTTTCACTTTTTTAAAATGAGTGGAAGGGGTTGAAATAAACTACCCCTATCATTCTTGTTAACGAAATTTAAAGAAAAATCTTATCAAACACCTACAAAAAAATTAATTTGGATAGTTTAGTTTGTTTAGAAACTTTTTTACCTCTTGTGTTTTTTTGATAAAACTCACCGATTTGAAATTAAAAAATAAAATGTAAAGCATTACATATCAGGACAAAAAACATTTTTAGATTAAGAATCTAGTGATAATAACGATAATAATAATCATCTAGATAATAACGTATTGCAGTAGAGTAATGTCAAATAAAATAATATTAGGAACATCCTAAAAAGTAACAGCGGCCGACTAGATTTTTTCCTAAAAAAATTACAGCAGCCCACTAGATTCTTTATCAGAAAATGTTTTTTGTCCTGGCATGTAATGCTTTACATTTTATTTTTTAATTTCAAATCGGTGAGTTTAATAAAAAAAATTCAAGAGATAAAAAAAGTTTCTAAACAAACTAAACTATCCAAATTAATTTTTTTGCATGTGTTTGATAAGATTTTTCTTTAAATTTCGTTAACAAGAATGATAGGGGTAGTTTATTTCAACCCCTTCCACTCATTTTAAAAAAGTGAAAAAATGACCAGAAAGTGTGTTTTCGTAACAGTAATGCTTCCATAAAATTTTATTAGTCTATCTCTTTTCGTTTTCAAGATAAAAAATAAAAACATTATTTTTCCGCCATTTTGTACCGCGATATCTCCCTAATGGTTGACTTTTGACCCAACGTTTATGAAGCAAACTACCCTTTATTTTGAACAAGGAATCACCCCCTGAAGTTTTTCGCATTTGTTTTGAAACACCCTGTATATGTAAATCTATATGTATATGAGGAATGTAATCGATCTTCATTTCCAAGCCAACTGAACGCCATTTTTTTTCGATCACTCGGTATAATACGGTCAAAAATATGCAATGTAATTTAATAAGGCGTTACTAGTCTAGTTTCGTCTTGTAATCTAGTCTTATTTTATTAGTACATCTAAAATTCAAGTAAAACATCTTACTCATGAATCACTCATGTATATTATATAAATTAAAATGTCGGTAAAACTCAGCCCGATATTCAATAGCGTCTAGTCTATTATTTAAAATATATAAAAAAAACATCTAATTTTCGCTCCATTTATATCTCCAAGAACAGCAGTTTCTAGTACTTTTTCATTTTTCACAAGAAATCATGAATATGCCGGAAATATGAACATAAACAATGATAATCTTAAGTTAGATCAATAACACGTCATAACGACAACGAATAGATTTACGACATATTCAGAGAAATCTAATTTATCCCCCAAAATAACGTATTTATTACGTTAAGGCACGTTAAGGTGTGTTCACAAAGGCTGCGGCTGCGCCGTTCCGCGCCGCACCGCGCCTTTGTGAATCGTCTTTTTAACATATACTTTTATGCGCGCTAAAAAAATACACTTCAAAAAAAATATTTTCCGCCTCTCTTTCTTAAAAATTTATTAAAAATACAAGAACCTATCTAGAAATCAAAACTATATTAGGTATTTACTTTAGATGGTCTATACTTACTTCGCTTTGTATTTAGAGTATTTCAAAATTTTTAACGGTATTGCAGATATTGACGGTTTTATATTTCACAGTGGCATTTTCCACAGTAAATTTTTATCAAAGCCATCCAATGATTTTTCTTTCGTATTTTACCATTGAACCAGCCATATGAAATAATACTGCGTGTATCTGCAAAACCATTAAAAATTTTGAAATACTTTAAATACAAAAAATATTTATTTTATAATTTTCCATCTAATAAAAATATAATATACAGGGTGTTCCATTTAAAAAAAAAAATAAAGAAAAATTATTTTATATTTTAGTCAGGCGTAGGAATTTAAACACCCTGTATTATTTAAGATTACGCTATTTATATCAAAGTAAGTATAGATCATCTAAAGTAAATACCTAATATAGTTTTGATTTCAGGACAGTTCTTGTATTAGTAATAATTTTTTTAAAGGGAGGTTAAAATTTTTTTAATTTATTTATTATTATCTCTGAAATTATCGAAATATGTTTACTCATATCTTAGGATGATGGAAAGTGATATGAAAGAAAGCCAAGAATACAATAATATACAGGATTTAAAAAAAAATCTCAATCCACTCACACTTTTTTGAACCACTCTATAGAAGTTAAAATATTTTCCTGAAATACATCCTTGTACATACTTTAGGTTTACGCTTAAACAAAGTTCCCAATTCTTTATTCTAGGAGCTACAGATGCCCGACGTACTATTTCCACCCAAATGATGCAAAACACTTATTAAAACTAAATTATGTATTCCAACCCCAATAGTTTATTATGAAATAATTATAAGAAATAATACTATATGCCTATCACGCTGTATTTGAAAATGCAATGAAAACAACAAAAATTAAAAAAAACTGTAAAAAAATGTGAAATTCTTACTTTTTCTTTCAATATATTCTTGTAGAAAAAATTAACGCACAAACACATAGACCGGCATCCACCACTAAAATATGAAATGGTAAAGATGCGCCTTTGTATTAACGTACCTACTACTACCTAATTAATGTTCATGCGAAACGTTCAGTGATTTTCAGTCCGTTATAGTTTAATTGCTCTTCATTCTTCCCATTTTGTAGGTAGATATATGATTCTCGAATATAATTTTTCCATGTTTACACTTTACCGTTTCTTTTAATTGATAATAAGGCTGTCTGTCTTGATTGCCAAGGCCGCCATACGTAAATATGTATAATGAATGAAAATCGGAAACTATACGATATTTGATATTTAAATATTATTTTAAAAGTAGGTATATAATTTATAGTGGAGTGGTTTAAGCCCTTATGGAATACAAACAGGGACGCGCCAAGTATTTTCGGCGCTGTCGTGCCAAATAAGGGTAGGCGCCTTTCTCCAATATTATAATATTAAGCCAAAATTTCCAATGACCAGCGGCGCGGCGCTCGACATTGGTGGATAATATATTTTCATCACTGGCGTTCATAGATAAAAGTATTACTTAAATTTTATGTTAATTTGTTGATAAGTTCCAAAAAATGGTTTTATTATTTTTTAAAGTCAGTCACCGCAGGCGCCTTTAGGGCTTTGGCGCCGCACAGTGCTTCGAACATATGGCTCTAGAGGACAAAAATGCAAAACTTCTTTTTTATTGTAGGCAATTTATTCAAACTAGGTTTATTTGACACAAATGATGAGTACTCTCATTGTACTAAATAATGATGTTCTTAGTCCCACGTTTATGAAAAAAAATCTTATAAATAATAAAAATGTGGGAGCTCTGTTCCATCTAAGGAAATAATAATTTATAGTATGAAAACGGTGTAAGTATTAAATAAATTCCTGTGATAAAAAAGAATTGGAATAACATTAGAACATGATTCCTACAATATAAACCTAATATAAGATAAAAATGATTTTCTTTAATGAAAAAGAAACATTAATGGTATATTTAATTTAAAAAAAACTTAAGATACTATAAATTTACTTTAGGACAACAAAATGCATAGATCGTAACTACTCTGATTCAGAAGAATCATTGCTGACAGAATCTTTCTAATTTATACTATCCAAATCACAGGTAGATGAAATATCCTCACATATAAGATATTTCTGTACATCATTTTCTAATATGTTACTTTTTCGCGTTGTTACTATTCTTTTTGTTGGTATGAGGGCTTCGGATGTTAATAGTTACCTCTTTAATAGACCCTATCCATATATTATTTTTTCGTTTTCTGGGGTATGAGGTTTTATAATAAATTGAAAGATGGGAACATTTTTTATGCCACGTTTCGCTCCAACATAGTGGGCTCAGGCACAAGTGGTTATCTCATTGGACTGGAAGGTTCATCAATATCTAATAAAGAACATATTTTTTGAAATATAAATAATTTTGAGTTCTTGTCCTTATGATCAAGCCAAGTATTAACCAGATCGGTATTGCTTATCAATTTTACTCCGTCTGAAAACTATTATAAAATAAAGTTCGTCGCAGGCAGACGCAGGTGAACTATGCAAAAATTAAAAGTGTATGAATATGGCAACAAAAATATTCAATAAATACGATATGTTTTGATATGTTTTTTTTAATGCCTTTTTGAAGTTTGAAAACGTAAAATTTTTATACCCATTTAAGAATCATCTTAAAAATAAATAAAAAACTAAACAATAACGAAATTGTTTAGAAATTAATTTTAAAGTACATACCTTGTTTAACAATATCCATAGTGACTTTCAATTAAGTACGTAACGTTTAACTCCATATACAGAACTACTATGAATGTTATTCTTTTCACTGATATAAGATAATGATCGCAAAATTTATTTTTAGTGAAAATATTTGCTAACAAAAAACGCTGTTTATGAAAAATAATATACAGGATGGTTGAACATTGCTATAAATATAAAATTACATATTCAGATATTAGTAAATTTTAACTTTTTTTTTCGATTTTTGTCCATGGGACGAAGCACTGTGCGCCGTCGTGCGCCGCACGACCTTGCCCATATGGACGGCACGTCCCTGGATACAAACCTCGGAATTCATTTACTGTGAACGAATTTTTATAAAACTTTCTGTATTGTATTGTTAATAAGATATATTACAAAGTTTACCCATTTAAATTCGTTGCTTTCACTTTAGTATTTAAATACCTAAATACACATATACAAATGCATACATACAAGATGGCTCCGTGTTCTGAAAAAGCTCTGTATCAGGATTCCTATTTCAGATTTTCACTCCAAACCTTTTACAAAATATGTGTTTAATGGTAGTTCACGTTTCAAAAATATTTTTATAGATATACAGGGTGAGTCAAATATATTTTTACACTTCAGTTTTAGTTTTTCCAAAAATATCTTAATACCATAGAGTATACTGAGTGGATTTTGAATTATGACCACATTCATGAGGACGTCAATCTGGACGTCCAGAAACCTTTGTATGAGAACTTCTAATCGAGACGATCGAATTATTGTAAGTTTATCCCTAAGAAACCGCTGTTTGCCAGCTTTTCAAATTTATAATGAATTGCACCCAAGGAACGTACATATTAACTAACGGATTATAAGAAGAAGACTAAATGAAGCAAATCTTATGTCAAGAGTCAAGAAGGCCCGCTTGGGGACCAGAACTTACCAGATCGGTTGACTAGGACCAACAGCAAAGGCATGGTTTTAATGTAAAAATTACGAAAACATGTAGTGTCTTATTCAAAAACGAATATCTCCATCAAAAATAAAGCTATTGAGGTGAACTAAAAAACAAACTATCGAGAAAGGATGTATCTAGATGATAAAATTTCTTGCTGTTTTAACATATTCCACAGGGTGTTTCAAACTTTCACCAAAATATTAACATTTCGTTTTCCCTCGTATAATTAACAGTTGGGGAGTTTCATTTTTAATTTAGAATGAGATACTAAAAAGTCAAATAATTTGGCTACATACTGCTTAAAAAATCATCAAACTCGGCCCACTAGAATAAAATATATTCAACTATAGATTACAGGGATACATATATAAGGTGGTGACAATTTCGATGCTCAACCAAAGAGTAGATAAGTAGTCTAACAATAGTAGATAAGTAGTCTAATCTACTCTTTGGCTCAACATTGGTATGTTTGACAAACACCTATGAAGAAAACCGCGGTATCTTGATTAGTTTCGGATTTATGCCAAAAAAAAATGAAAACATCTTAACTTTATTTATTTAATCAAATAACAAAAACTAACCACAACAGTGTTTTCTCCATGATGATATGACACATTACAAAAGACTGTACCATAGACTGAACAATAACTCTTTGAAACATGTAGACAATTTAGTCTGTACGACGCAATCGTAAATCGTACGATAAGTCGATGCGTGTGGACCGCGCTTTATTTGTACTTGCCGCCAATCTTGGCGCCAATAGAGATTTCCATATTTCTGGGTGCCAACCGTCGACCGGCAACCACTAGCAACACTGTTAAGCATAGCCATCAAAAATTAAAAAAAAAGTAAAAAGTGAGGTTAAAAAAGGAATTTATTCCGTAAATAGGTTTAATTTAAAAAGCAATTGCATGTAATTTATAGTTTTAAAAGATATATTTTAAGAATTAACAATATAACCATTCAAATATGTCGCAAAAGATTAATTGGGCGAACTATTTAGCACAGACGGAAACAAAGGTAATTTTAAGTTTTTAACTAACTTTGTAACTGACAAAACATGTAAAAAACATTTTTTAGTTATCAAATGTTTCTGTAAATGATATTGGGCAACCAGATGAAGATGCTCCTGAAAAGTTCAGTCCTGCTGAAGCTAGTCTTTTAGCTAAAATAATTCGTAAAGGTTTAGTAGAAACTAAATCTGATATTGAAGTTCAGCGTAAAGATCCCAAATCGCCGTTATATTCTGTGAAAACATTTGAAGCTTTAAATTCAAAAACGAATATCTCCATCCAGAGAATAGGTACATTAAAGAAATGCTAACTTCATGTTAAAAAATGGAAACAGACGCCACCTGGTGTCGCCTGGCAGTACTAGCTAAATTGAGGGGAATTGGAGGGGCGGGGCTTAAAAGAGGGGAAATTTTAAAAAAAATATTTTTATAAGTATCACTGACTTAAGCTTGTCGCCCACTTGTCCGGCACAGCACGGACCGTAGCTGCTCGTCGCCTGCAGGCGACGGAGAGCTTGGTCGCCCACTTTGCCGCAGGAAACCGGCAAGCCGTCACGTCGCGGTCGTATGTTGCGAAGATCTTTTTGTTTTAGTTTACATGTAGCAGTGACAGAGTCACTATGTGTGAAAGCAGCAGTTCTGATGAAGAAGTTATTGTAGCGGCCGCATTTTTGGCAGAAGAAGAAGAAAATAAATAGAAGATAAAGAGAAAAATGTGGGTCCACCCCATTAATCAAAAGCGGACTGAACGCGGAGAGTCCCATCATTTATTTAACGATTTAATTTCCCTAATTTTTTTTCTTAGGACTGCTTTCTCGGACTTAACAATAACAACTGCCAAAATAATTGCAAAACATATATGCGATCGAAAGGCTTCCATAAGTTAATGCAGGCCAGCGCCGGCCGGCCGGCTCCGCGTACAGTTGACCGGCCCGTCCCGGCACGGACCGTCGTTTGACGGGGAGAGTCGGAGAGCTGGAATCTGTTCCGTCGACGGACTCGCCGTTCCGTGCCGTGACGGGCTAATGTGCGGTAGTCTATTCATTTGCATGGTTTTAATCCTATCCGTATTTTGACGGGCCGGAACGGGACGGGACGTGACGGCCAAGTGGGCGACAAGCTTTACTGTTTAAAGTTAATAAACATATTTTTTATTACTTTAATATAATTTAATGTATTAAAAAATATGTCTATTAACTTTACACAGCAAATCAATGATATTAAAGACTTATTATTTTCAGAGAAAATTCATAGTAAATAAATTACACATTAGTAAACAATATCATTTATTTTTTAGAGCTGCGATTTATATTACAATAATATTGAAATATATATATTTTTTTAACAATGAAAAAGAATATCCCGGAACCTGAAAAAGAAAGATGATCAATTAATGACTTAAATTAGTTCAAAATGCATTTTGCAAATAACTAGTGAATTGGAAAGATAAACATACTATTAAAAGACATTTTAGTAGTATGTTATCATCTATTACTGATATTACATTACATAAGTATATAATAGGTAAATAACATGCATAAGGCACTATGATACAACTACCTGTATCATGATAACACACTAATATGACAAAAATATATGCTAATTTAAATTCCTTTAATGATCTAATGAAACACTATCTAGCCTCAATGCATGCCATTCCAAAGGCAAAAAAAAAAACTGTTATACCAAATAAATATAAGCTGAATAAAACATAAACCAAGCCAACGTGCATAAAAAACCAAAAAATGCATCAAAAAATACTTTTATCAGATCATACCTTTGGATATATTATGTATTTTATATATCGCACATCCCGTTCAAAAGTTTACTAACTCAAAATAGAGAATATAGAGAACATTGTCAAGAGAAGTAAAAGAAAATTTAAGTTAAGGCAATATGCTCCTTTTTGGATATTAATGGCCAAATAATATAATGTTGATTTAATAAAATTTTACTGGCATCCTTCTGAGGTATAAATCAGATTAAAAGGACATTGTTTTTGTAATAATTGTTTGTTTTGTAAACATTTTTTGAAGACAATACAGTTTTGAACGGGCTGTGCGATATAAACAAGGATCTTACTATTATTTGAGGTTAGAAAGTATTTAAATAACATAAAACATAATCAAAATCATTTGTCATCATAAATTATAGAGGTACTTACGTGTTTTGATATTATTATCAGGAAATAATACGTTTAGTTAAACAGGTACGCTGCCAGGCAAGTTCTATCGGCGGGTCTTTGCAAAAGTTGAAATCTAAAAATACAAAACTACGTTTACATCTTAGTTGTATTTACGAATAAAGTATTTGTGTGTAATTTCTGACTTACCAGTTAATTGAATAATCGCATTAAATACATCCAAATGGTAATTTAATATTGTAAAAAAGCAAAATTGTTTTAAATCACTTGCCAGGACAGCCCGGCCAGCTTCTTTGTTGACAAAATGGCCGCGGTATCATGATTTAAGCAATGTGAGTGACAAAAAAAGCCAATGCCTGGCAGATGTTGCTTTCTTTGTCGTTGGTCCTGGCACGTTTAAATTTGACTGTTGCCTGTTTTCACATACAAGTGACACCCCCGTGTCTCCATCAAAAATAAAGCTATTGAGGTGAACTAGAAAACAAACTATCGAGAAAGGCTGTATCTAGATAATAAAATTTCTTGCTGTTTTAACATATTCCACAGGGTGTTTCAAACTTTCACCAAAATATTAACATTTCGTTTTCCCTCGTATAATTAACAGTTGGGGAGTTTCATTTTTAATTTAGAATGAGATACTAAAAAGTCAAATAATTTGGCTACATACTGCTTAAAAAATCATCAAACTCGGCCCACTAGAACAAAATATATTCAACTATAGATTTATGGAGTGTAGAGGTAAGGAGAAATAACTCTTATGGGACTTTTATAGAAAAAGTGGTCACAAAATGGGAAGAATAAGGGTTCGCCAAATGACCACAGTGGCGCTAAAAACGCATAAATCTAAAAAATGAAAAGTAACCATAGATAAGAGAATAAAAATAAATATAACCAAACATTACCCAAAAAAGTTTTTTTTATTTTTAGAATATAAAATAATTATTGTTTATCAATATCTTGTGCTTTATTTATTATTTAACAATGGTTAAAGTGTGTGTGGTGCGAAGTTGATTGAATAGCTGTAAAATACATAATATAATTCAGTATTGTATTATTTGTATTATATGTAAAAATTAGAGTCAATCAAAAGTGTAGTAAACATTTTTCGTAAGATTATTGACATACATGTTACAAAGTATATTTTTACAATCCTTTCTATAAAGTTACAACCTGAATAAAATTTATTTTTAATGATTTTAAAGTTTGACAGACATGCACAAATGGTTGGCATTTTTTTAAACAAATAAAAGTAGGAAATAAATAAAGTTGTAGGTACTTTCAAGAAATATAGTTAACTGTAAGTGCTGTATTTTAATAATCTGTCAAAAATCAAAATCATCAGGATAATATTAGGTATTGATTTTCAAACAAGAATTAGATTACAGCGATGGTCAAAAGCATTTAGATATTGCTTTGAAATCTACAGATAAGGTATGGCAGTTTCGTTTTAAAGAACAAGATGTTAAAGTTTACGATAAAATTGTCATCAGAAATACTGTCCACTTGCAGTATTTACATAGGAAAATGTTGGAGGATGAAGCTCTACCTACTGCCTCAGGTTAATTTAAATTCTGAGTTGCAACAACAGCAACAAGCAAGAAGGGCACCATTAAATGAATATTATATTATTATACAAAGAAAGAGTAATGTTATACACATAAATATTAACATTTTGTAGAGCAACAACAGAATAAAAAAACAAAATATGAACACCAGCAACTAAAACAGGAACCATTAAATGAATATTATATACGTAAGTACAATTTGATTGATTAAAAAACAGCGTCAGCGATGCCTATGAAATGAAGATTGCTGTCATTTTATATGTAAAATGATATGGAGAATGTCATCGACATGTCATTCCAAGCCAACTGGACGCCGTGTTTTTTCGATCATACAATATTATTATACACATAAATAGTAATATTATACACATAAACATCCCTTGATAGAGATCAACATTTTGTAGAGCAATGACAGCATCAAATAATGGAAATAATGGACCTTATTGCACAAATCAAAAACAAAATTTCAGTATTACTTTATTGGTTATATCAATAAAAGAAATTGAGTTTATCAGTCTAGATCCTACAAGCAAGCAGATCTATCACATAATTTTAAATGAAGATTTATCTATCATAGTATGTGTATAAACACTTTGCATCTTTTATTCAATGTTGAAATGAATTAACAAATTCCAGGTAATTTATTCTAATAACGAAAAAAAAACTTTGGATCAAAAAATATTTTCTTCTGATGAGGTTTATGAATATTAAAGTCTGTTGAAGTTTGGCCATTATGTGTTGGTATACAATTTATTTATGATGTTACAGTAGTTAAACCATCCGAGTACGAAACATGTTTAATATCCACTATTCTTAATGAATGGAAACTACCAACTTGAGAGGAAGCTAAGAGAAAGGTTCTATTGGGTGGACTACAAGGAAAAGGGATATACATGAGGATCTGGAAGGGCTATAACATTACGTCTCAAGCCATGGGACAATAGGAAACAAAATTCAAAGGAAAATATTACAATACGTGGGATGCAAATTATAGTGCAAAGAATTGAGAAAAAGAATTATTAAAAGTAGTTATTGTTACGATAGTTAAACCATCCGACTACCAAATATATTTAAAATCCACTATTCTGAATGAATAGCAACTACCAACTTGGGAGAACGATTCTATTGGGTGAACTACAAGGAAGACATGAGGATCTGGAAGGGCTATAAAATTATATTATTCCACGTCCCAAGCCATGCAAGCCATGTTGGAATAGCGGGGAGTGAAAAAGAAGATAATACTGCACACGATTCTTGTCTAGAAGTAGTTGATATTAAGGTAGTTAAGCCATCCGACTATCGAACATTTAAAATCCACTATTCTGAATGAATGGCAACTACGATGGCAAAACGTAAATAAATACTTGTACAGTATAAAATTACATTATATTGGCTTAATTTTTATACTAAATAAAATGTGTTACGTTATTTTTGACCTGCATTATATTTATTTAAATCCCATATCATCAATTAAACTTTAAATAAAGTTTTCCCAATTATAATTAACATTAATTTTAAACTAAAGCTTTTTTTTTCATCTTGAATGAGATTTACGAAATAACTTATGAGAAAAAATAAAAAAGAGGCTCAGTCTATTGCTTCTGAATAATCGATAATAAAACCACATGTTGACTTACTTTTATACTAAATAAATGTAGGTATGAAGTTATTTTAAAGCTGCATTATATTTATTTTAAACCCATCACCAATTATTACTTTAAATAATTTTTTTCTTAATTATAATTAACATTAATTTTAAGCTAAAACGATCGGAATAATGTTTTCGTCGTCTTGAATGACATTTGCGAAATAACTTATGAGAGCAATAAAAAAAGAGCCTAGTCTATTGCTGCTGAATAAAAATCTGTAATTTATTTCATGTGACATGAAAATAAATTTGTATTTTTTTGAAACCCGCGGCTTCACGTATATGATTCACGTCAAATATTTATGTCTTTTGAATCAGCTGTTCTAAATTCTAAAAATGTTCGGCGCATATCTTAAATTTTAGGTTTTTGCTACAGCAGCGCCATCCTAATTCTTCCCTTTTTTTGACCATTTTTTAATGCACGGAGTTGTTTCTCCTTACCTCTACACTCCATATATAGATTAGAGGGATACACAGTGTTGCCGATAGACAATTTTTTTCCGAGCCACACAATATTGAAAAAACGAGCCACATTTGCATGCAAGTGAGCCACATTATTAATCAAGCTAAAATTTAATAAATAAAACAAAAATATACAAAATAATAAATATAACACAATAATAAAACAAAAACTTAATACTTTGACTGAGCTTAATTGTGCATTTTAATTAAAAATTTAGGTTAGCATTAGAACTTTTTTAAAAACCAGATACTTACTTATCCATCTTTGTATATTATGTACTTTTGATCATACGTAAGGAATAGAATTATTGATAGTAAAGACTTTTGATAATAATTAATTTATTGATATCTATTGATTTTTATTGATTACAGGTATAACGGTTAAAAATTTAAACTGAACACTGAACATAACCTAACAATGTTCAAAACCACCAAAATCGTATCAAACGTCAAACGTCAAACGCCAACACGAACGCAGCAACCAGATACTACAATATAGGGAGGGATAAAATAATCGATACAACGATTCGTTTATATTAATGACTAAACAATTTAAAATGAGATGATATTATGTATAAATTTATGATCTATGAAGAAAAAGGAATTATTATGGTAATGGTGTGGATCCGGTGGCTGACCTTGAAACGAGTTTTTGCTGCATATAGTCACAGACTCTACGCATGCGCACATCTTCGATGCTGCCAGATTGCAAGTTATTTTGGAATTATTTTCAGTAGAAAACAAATATATGCTTTTCAGTGTTTTTTTTGTCAATATATACCGTATGATCGAAATAACGGCGTCCAGTTGGCTGGGAAATGACGATTGATGACATTTCCCATATAAAATGACAGCTATCTTCATTTCATAGTCATCGCTGACGCTATTTTTTTTCAATCATAGTATGCGGTATATTATTTATATTATTATTTTAATATTTCGCACACTACGTGAACGCTTATTATGTATTTTCATTGTCAATAAAATTAAATATAAATAATAAAACTATAGATTTCTATAATTAATCTAATTGCTCTAGATTATTATGCTACGTTTAAAAAGTGCTTTATGAAGAATTCGGGAAATTAAAAGGGATATGTCCAAGTTTTTTCTTTTTTTTAATTTTTAAATGCTGTAGCTCCATGTCATGTTCATAATAGATTTTTTTAACATTCCATCAAAACTACGGAGGCCTTAAAAGGCCTTTAGCCTCCGTAATTAAAATTGTAGAGTCAGCTTCAGCAACATTAACAGTTACCTTGTCACTACCTTACGATTTCTCTATTCTTACAACTAATTTATGTGATTTTCTTAGCATATATGATTTATAAACTATATTTTTCCTAATGGAAGGATGGAATAGGATATGCAAAATTAAGATATTTTAACATTTATTTTCCAGGCAAAGCATAATATAGTATTAAGATTAAGACATAACAAATATTATAAGAAAGATCTTAATATTAATCACAAACTATGTCTTAATTTGGTCTTGTATAAACACAGGTATAAAACTAATAAGATCAAAACTCAACCTTCACCATATTGTCAAGATTTGGCATTATAGGAAACTAGAAATTACAGTAAATTAAGAAAAGAATATCAAAGTACACGATATTAAATTCTGTAACGTAAGAGAAAAAGATAAAACATAAAGCTTATTTTAGTCTTATCAACACACTCTTCGATAAAATATATGTCTAAAATTGCTATTAATCCACTAACTTGATATTTTTAAGAAATTATGATACAAACATTATAATCAAAGTACCGTATGATCAAAAAAAAACGGCGTCCAGTTGGCTGGGAAATGAACATCGATGACATTTCCCGTATAAATTTACATATAAAATGACAGCGATCTTCATTCCATAGCCATCGCTGACGCCGTCCATCGCTGACGCCGTTTTTTCTCGATCATACGGTATATTATATTAGTAACATTATAGGTAAAATGTTACCTCTATCTCCCATTGACGTGTATTGTTCTATAAGACTCGTCATGGTAGTACTTCAATGCATCAATACATATAATCAAAACTATTTTGCCTGTAAATAACTAGAAATTAAATAACTTGAAACAAATAAAATAATTCTAATAAGTTTAAAACCATTAAAAAAAAATCCCTAAATGATAATTTTTAATTCTAATGTAAATATATAAATAAATGTCATTATTATTACAATTTTATATATTCATAATAATTTCATTTCACAATCTTCATTATCCTTCTTACCTTAATTTTTGATATCAAGATAATTAACTAAAAATAATTCGAAAATAAACTGCAATTTGGCAACATCGACGATGTGCGCTTGCGTAGTTTCGATGATCAAATGCAGCAAATATAGGCTTCAAGGTCAGCCACCGGATCCACACCTTTACCATTATTATAATAATATTATTATTTGCAAAGAGCGGAAAGAGCCACATTTTGCAACGAGGAGCCACCGAGTATTTTTATGCCGAAAAGAGCCACATGTGACCCAATTGGGCCACTTCGGCAACACTGGGGATACATATATAAGGTGGTGACAATTTCGATGCTCAACCAAAGAGTAGATAAGTAGTCTAACAATAGTAGATAAGTAGTCTAATCTACTCTTTGGCTCAACATTGGTATGTTTGACAAACACCTATGAAGAAAACCGCGGTATCTTGATTAGTTTCGGATTTATGCCAAAAAAAAATGAAAACATCTTAACTTTATTTATTTAATCAAATAACAAAAACTAACCACAACAGTGTTTTCTCCATGATGATATGACACATTACAAAAGACTGTACCATAGACTGAACAATAACTCTTTGAAACATGTAGACAATTTAGTCTGTACGACGCAATCGTAAATCGTACGATAAGTCGATGCGTGTGGACCGCGCTTTATTTGTACTTGCCGCCAATCTTGGCGCCAATAGAGATTTCCATATTTCTGGGTGCCAACCGTCGACCGGCAACCACTAGCAACACTGTTAAGCATAGCCATCAAAAATTAAAAAAAAAGTAAAAAGTGAGGTTAAAAAAGGAATTTATTCCGTAAATAGGTTTAATTTAAAAAGCAATTGCATGTAATTTATAGTTTTAAAAGATATATTTTAAGAATTAACAATATAACCATTCAAATATGTCGCAAAAGATTAATTGGGCGAACTATTTAGCACAGACGGAAACAAAGGTAATTTTAAGTTTTTAACTAACTTTGTAACTGACAAAAATGTAAAAAACATTTTTTAGTTATCAAATGTTTCTGTAAATGATATTGGGCAACCAGATGAAGATGCTCCTGAAAAGTTCAGTCCTGCTGAAGCTAGTCTTTTAGCTAAAATAATTCGTAAAGGTTTAGTAGATACTAAATCTGATATTGAAGTTCAGCGTAAAGATCCCAAATCGCCGTTATATTCTGTGAAAACATTTGAAGCTTTAAATTTGTAAGTTCCTGAATTTTTGCCATTATAAAATACTGAAAAAATTTGCCATTATAAAATGGAAAAAAAAACGGCGTCATGGATGGTTTGGAAATGAAGGTTGCTATCGTATTGTATGTAAAATTAGATGGGAAATGTCATCGATTGTCATTTCCAAGCCAACTGCACGCGGTTTTTTTTCGATCATACAAAATATTTAATAGTAAATTGTTTCTTATTGAATAAGTTCATTGATTCTAGAAATCCAAATTTACTAAAGGGGGTGTATGAAGTAGGATATAATGCACCATCGAAAATTCAAGAAACAGCTTTGCCAACACTATTAGCTGATCCTCCGCAAAATCTGATAGCTCAAGCTCAGTCAGG